CCCCCCCCCCCCCCCCCCCCCCCCCCCCCCCCCTTCCCGTCGTCGCCCCCCTTACCTTTCACGAAGAGATTCACTGGAGCCGAAACGACGGGAGGAAACCCGATGGTCGCCACCATGCACGCATACGACCCATTGTCCCGCACCTCCACGTTCCGGATCTCCAGGCTCGCGTTCCGCTGCTGGACCAGCACCCGCCACCCGTCCTCGTGGATCGGACGATGATTCAGCTGCCACGTCACCCTGCCCCCACGACCATGGACCCGTGGACACGCACGACAACAAAAAGGGACGATCGCGACAGAGGACTCGCCGCTCACCTCCTGACGGGGTACCCCGGCCCGACGTATCCGCAATCGAGGAAGATGTTCCCTCCCTCGTCGACCACCACGGTGTCCACCGCGCGCTCCAGGAACCTCGGCGGCTCTGAAACCCCCGGCGAAACCCTCTCGTCAACCCGACGAAACCCCACAGAGACGACCCGGACCCCTCCCCCACTCACCTTCCACGTACAACCGGACCGCGAACCTGGAACTCCCCACCAGATTCTCCGCCACGCACGTGTAGTTCCCCGCCATCTCCTTCCTCGCCTGCTCCACGACGAGCTGCGTCCCCTGGACCCTCACCCCCCCGACGACCCCCGTCGGCACCACCCTCCCCTGCGGATCCTCCCACCACACCCTCGGCTGCGGGTGACCCTTGGGCGCCTTGCACAGCACCTCCACCTCCCCCCGCTCCTCCACCACCAGGATCGGCAGTCCCTCGGGCAGCGGCGGCTCCATCGAGTCCACCGTCAGCGCGTCCAACCCTGGTGAGACGAAGATCGCCGGTGATGTCGGGCGTCATCGAGGGCATTTGGCATTCTCCAATCGCTTCATTCGCTCTCTGAAGAAGCTCTTCGTTCGAGTCCTGTTAAAAATTAGCACGCTTCGGCGACATCGTGTGCCTCTAAAATAAACTGCTGCTTCTCCCCGGGTCTTCCGTCCGCGACCTTCGACGCAAGCAATTTTCCACATATGTCGTGTCATACGCAGCTTGGTGTAACAGAAGCTTCTGACTTTCGTGCTTTGAGAAACAACACCGGCTCATGTTTTTCTCAAGATCCCACGATACGGCTTCTCTCCTCGCGAGTTTGCGCCTCGTAGGGACAGGCAGGACG